TTTGGATGTCGAGATTTGGTGATAAATCCGTTTTCCGTTCCTGGTTTTGCGTGACAACGTCGCGCAGCTATCTTATGTGGAATCGTACAGCCTTCCCTAGAAATCTGTTCTATATCTATCGGTGTTCATATTTTTGCAAAGTAATTGGTATTTTACAATAAATGCTCTTAGTTTATAACAATTAGTTTAAAACAAGTTTAACTATAGATCTTCAAATTTAAAATATTTTAATTTATACAACAATATTAATGTAATAGCGCATTAGCATGCATAAAACAAAATTCAAGTTTTGTAGAGTAACGTGTTCATAATATATTTTTTATCGACATATATTTAATTTCTACGCGGGTCCTAGATCTGCAATATGTATAAAGATAAAAGAAAGGATATATTTTTGTATAGTAATAAACTTGTTTTATTAAGTATCTAATTATTATCCGTATGTTTTATAACAAACTAATATATAAGCTAGAATTCCTTTTTGCTTCACTTTGTCTTTTTTCTTTCTTTGAAGAGAATCGATCAATAATAAAGTGGCAAACATTATTTTTTAGACCAAGGAAAAAAGAAAAACACGTTTAGTATTTATACTCATTTTCTAGAAAATTAAAATTTTCTCCTTTCATGATAATTAACTAAAACTTAATTAATGATAAATTTTAACTTATCACAGAGACAAGTAATAATTAGTCTTTAAACGTTTTTAAAAAAGCTGTAAACATGAAGGACAAGAGTGAAGTGCGCTTGTTATTGAAAGGTAAAATCCTGTATATATTTTTTGTTTTTAATTACATTACGATTATATACTAATAATAGCTCTCTCTTTTACAAGTTTATCGTTTGAAAAAACAATTGGAAGAAGTTCAGAGTATATATATTTAGTTGCAGTAGAATTTTAACTATACATATACTAATAGCCATCTCCTTATAAGATCGCGCATTTGATTTAGTCGCGGAAAATACTCATTTGAAAAGTGAATTGAACAAAATGAAAGAATATATTCAGAGTATATATATTTAATTGTAGTAGAATTTTGTCTATACTTTCAATTACTGTACGCATACTAATAGCATCTCCTTATAAGATCGTGAATCTGATTTAGTCGCAAAAAATACTCGTTTAGAAGAATTTAATAAAGAAGGTACTATTTTTATTTTAGCTGCTTGAAGAAATGTATTGAAATTATACATTAATTGTTCACTCTATCTAAAGCTGAATTAAGGTTGATGGCGAAATTTGCTGAAAATCAAAAATTGGTTGCATATTATAAATATTTGTTTAATCATGGCCAAAAGCCATCAAATGAAGATTTTGAAAAATTGAAATTAATAATTGTTAATTTAGAAAATGAAACACAACAAAAAGTTTATCAAATAGGATTATAAATATAGTTAATGAAACCAATTTGCACGTTTCATAATTTAGTTTAATAAAGAAGAATTACAAAACTCATAATTGGATTCATTTATTGAGAATTTCTACTAAAAGTCAATAAATCGATTTTTGCCCAAATTAAACTCTGATAATAAATTTATTTGCTCATCCCTAGCGCTAGTTCTGAATCAAAAAAAAAAAAAAACAAATAATAATCGCAAAGCGAAAAGTAATTATAACACGAATATAGATATCGATTGCCTAGATAACTTATCGCTAGTTATGAGAATGTAATGTTTCATCAATTGAATTATTTCTTCTCGGTAATAATAGGGGATAACAAGAAAAACAAAAACAAATCAAAGAATGGCATTCATCAAGAAAGTTGTCATGATAGCTCAACAGAAGTATTATTAAATATTCAACCTGACCCAGAATTAGAAGATCGTGAACAATCTAATTTAGAGATATCGGATGCACTAGTTATTTAGGATAATTCAAAGCAAAATCATAATTGTCCAACTTCAGCATATATGTTAATAAGTTTTCAATCAAGAGAATTTTAACAATAATTGATGTGCTAATAATAATTTCGATTTTTTTTTGGAAAAGCTGCCTCTCATATACAACATCAAAGATCAGAGTTGTCTTCAATTTACGCTGAAAACAAACAATTGATTGGAAATTTGTCTTCATTTTACGAGGAAAACAAACAATTGATTGGAAATTTGGAATATATAAAATGGTCATATTGTGAGACCCGAAAAGTGGTCAATTTGGGTCCGGAATGGTATAACGTGACCATGGGTCACGGGGGGGTAAAATCACAAAAATTACATTTATTACATAAGTCACATAAATCACATAAATCAGATAAATTGCATTTATTGCATTTATTACATTTATTACATTTATGCGATTTATGTGATTTATGTGACTTATGTGATTTATGTGATAAATTAGATTTATTACTTTTATAACATTTATGTAATAAAATAGCATTCAAATTTTATATTATAAAT